AGGTGGAAAAGGCTTTGTGCCGGCCCTCGGCGGAGCGGATCTGCAGGATGGTGGAGATGATATAGACATAGGAGAGGAGGACAGTGACAAGGCTGCTCACTAGAATGCAGCTCATAAAAACAAACATCGCAATCTCATTGTTGCGGGTGTCAGAACAGGAGAGCGCCAACAGGGGGGGGACGTCACAGAAGAAGTTATTGATGATGTTGGAGCTGCAGAATGACAGCCGAAATGTAAAACACTGAATCATTGAATCCACAAACCCCACAGCGTATGCCCCAACCACTAGTTGGTTACAAAGCTGCCTGGACATGGTGACCGTATAGAGCAGCGGGTTACAGATGGCCACATAACGGTCATACGCCATCACAGCCAGCAACAGGCACTCAACATCTCCAAAAACAATTGAGAGATATAGTTGCACAGCGCAGGCAGTGTAAGAAATGCTTTTCCTCTCGGCTAAGAAATTTTGCAGCATCTTAGGGGAAATTATCGAGGAAAAGCAGAGGTCACAGAAAGACAAATTACTGAGGAAAAAGTACATGGGGGTGTGGAGTCGGGGATCAATGGTGATTAAGAAGATCATCCCCCCATTTCCCACCAGGGTGATAACATCAACCACTAGGAACACCCCAAACAGGAGGACCTGCAGCTCCGGACGATCTGTCAGTCCTGAGAGAATGAACTCAGTCACCTCCGAGTGATTTCCCTTTTCCATCTCCTCTGAACAGAGATCTGACAGCTACAGAGATGTGGGCAGGTGGATGGTGCAGATGTTCACAGCTGGTCATTCCAGTTGTTTGATAAAATACACACTGCGTAAATACACTGACACGCAGGTTAATCATGCCCCGCATACGAAGACTCCTGTTCACTAATCCAAGCAGCAAACAGTGACTTGTGACTCTGCTGTAAGGGAATCAGGGTGAAAATCATCTCAGTCAGGGGTAGGAGTTGGGGCTGAGGCTTTTAGTGCTGGAGGTCTTGAATTTAATACCTGCTGATCATTATGGTGTGTATGTGTGTGTGTGTCTGTAATTCAGGATAATAACACGTACCTGCTGAGAAGAGAGAGATGTGGTGGTGTTTCCCCAATGACAGTAACTGCCAGTTTGGAGCATTTGGGAAGTTTTATATTGAGATGTGTCATCTGTAGGACATGATTCCTGGAGCAACTGGGAATACCTGAGCTAACAGAGCCATAACACCGAATTAATACATCCAGTGAACCAAAGCCACCTTCGGTTTAATTCATGCCCTGGGGATTAATTTGGCCTACTCTTTCCTATTGTGTTATTAAATGATGCAATTTCTACCAGAGTTACAGAGTATGAGGTTAGGGGTATATTTCATCCTGCTGTTTTCAGTGCAAGCCGGGTACTGTGTAGAGCTGATCCACAAAGGGGGGG